TTAAAAAAAATTCTCGCGAGACTCATTCACGCAAGATAAGACCCAAACAAAATGATCTGGTGGTTTCAGTAGCCTGACCGACCCTGTACTTCCGCATCTAACCTAGAACATTTTATTGCAAAAAGTGGAGTATCATGTATGTGCACATACAGTTAAATTTTAATAAAATACTAATTAAAAAAATGTTTTTCCGACCTATCTACCCTATTATTTTCAGCATGTTACCAGAATCTCAAAATCATTTTGTTTTGGCCTTATGACGTCAAACACACAGGCCAATTTTTCACATTTATCTTATGTATACCATATCACACGCCGGCCTCGAATAATAATGTATGTACCACAAACGAGAAAACACTCGGCGAAATGAAATAAAATGAAACTTTGAAAGAAGATCAGAGTTATTACTAAATTCTGAAAATTCGGTTTGATTGAGTCTGTACATGAGGGATAATGAATAAATGCAACATCCCTCACGCCCCCTAGCACCGGCTTGAGCGGTACTCAATTCTCAACACTTTATAGTGTTGGCATCAATGATCCCGAAGGACCAGAAAATATAACAACACTGAAGCCTTCATTTTGGGATGTTATTTGACATTCAGAACGTAAAGAGGGAACTCCGTACTTTCTAGATGCTTGTCATTATAGACATCGACAAATGTAGGCACATGAGCTTTCCAATTTGCTTTTTGACTACCTTACTGGTCGCAAACATCTTGAGCAACATCTTGTTAAAACGTTCTGATATCCCATGGCTTCTCACTTGCACATCTGTCGAATGTACGACTAACGTTTGAAGTAATGTTGTGTATTCAATTAGCTGCTAGTATTTGTATCCAATATTTTATCATTTGAACATTTCTGTTTATTTATCATGCAACTGCTATCATGGTAACTGCTCGATAACACTTGCCTGATAATTATTTTTGATATCAGGTCAGTAACCTGATATCAAAAATAAGCCCCGCCCATTTTTTTCAATTGCTTATATTCTTATTTTCATCAGCATGTGAATTCTACAATGTAATCTCATACCCTTACAAGTCTTGAATCAAGATGCGATATTCATTTATTAATTATTTCGATTTCAATTACGAATAAATTAGATAGCGAATAGTTTTAGCACCAACTAAATGAAGTGACGTCATAATTTATATTGCAAATGACATCATTGATGTTCACGTCATACTATACATGTAATCATAACAAACAGGCTAAGGCTCCCACGTTTACATTTTTTTGTAAACGTTTACACGATTTTTAAGAACTGAAACGATACTGTTTAAACGGTGGTACTTCTATGTACTATACTACACAATGTATTCGAGTTGCCAGATGCTGACTTACTTTCTATTTTTAATACATGAACAAATAAACAAATAAATAATGTTCAGGGCTCATCACGATTGTGTCGGCACACATTTACTGCAATGTATCCCCATTTCTCTATTTTGAAAGATTAAAGGAAAATCAACTTTACAAAAAAATGTATTATGCCACGAGCGATTATTGCACGGCAATGCTGTGCGGAAGGTTGTAAACACCCATTTTCCGTTTTTGACCTTGGAATAAACCAATAAGAATTGATAAAATCCATGATTACAGGAAATGATAAAGATATTTTGAAAGACAATATGTTCATTTGTTAATTTTCGGTTAAACGGTAAAAATATCATAAACGTTTACGAATGAAAATCGAAACGAATCCGTTTAAACGTGTAACCGTGGGAGCCTTAAAACAGGCTGGACGATTTTCTTTGAGAACTTGTAAATGTTTACTTTATTTCGCCGGATTATTATTTAATAAGTGAACAAACTGTTTTGTTTAAAAAATAAGACGCATGTTTGTGTAGCTTGTGTTGATTGCCGATCTGACTTTTCTTTGATGAACTTTTGAATTTGACAAGTCATGACACATATTGCAGTAAAGTTTAGTTTATGTGATTCTAAATGGATTTTTGGATCGATGTTTAAATTAAAGGTAAGAATTTTATCGTATAAGGCCTACATTCTGTTGCATCTTTTATCCGAGTCGAACGAAAAAATGGCCGCCATTTACAAATTCTAAGTTTCAGGGGCGGAGGAATTTGTTTTCAAGAACTATTTCTTTGAACAAAAATCCCCCTTTTTAACGAAATTCGCTTTTTAAAAGTAGATTATTTTGTTATTTTGACAGTTATTATGTAATACATGATAAATAGAAAAACATGCTACTGTCTTTTGATATCAATTTTATCAGGCTCGACAAGCCTCGCCCTTTCTAGCCCATATCAGCCTCGCAAAAGACAGTAGCATGTTATTCTCTATATAAAAAGGGTATCTTCCTAATTCTCCGTATACAGCACTATTGCTGGAACTTTTCTTAACGCCTAAAATATATTTGCAAAATTTGAGATGTACACTTTCAATATCTTTTGACTAAGAAAATACCCATACAGGACATGCAAATTCAGAATAGAGCCAACAAAAGAATCAAATAATTGTAAAGAAATATATGGTGATAATTCTACCTTATTAATATTACTTTGTAGAACGTTACATGCTTTTAAGGCTTTTCCAATAATATATTGATTATGTAAAACAAATGTACCCGTATAATTTAAAACTACTCCTAAATAGTTGAAATCATTAACTATGTCTAATTGTTCATTATTATAAAAAAGCTTTTCGTTCTGTCTCAAGGGGCCCCTTTTTCTAAATATAACGACTTTTGTTTTTGAAGTATTAACTTGTAACCCCCAGTATGTACAATATCCATATAATAAGTTTAGACTGGATTGCAAATCTTCTATAGAATGTCCTACTAACACCATATCATCAGCAAAGAGTAAAATAATGATACAAAGTTCAAAAATTGACAAACCACAATTTATTCTGTTTTGTTTTGTAAATATAGTTCTAAGTCCTCTGAAAAAAGTGCAAACATAACCGGAGAATTATTTAAGCCTTGACGAAGACCAATTGAAATTTCAAAAAAGTCTGAGAATGTGTTGCAATACTTAATACATGATTTAACAACAGTATACATAGCCTGGAACATTTTCAATTTTTTTCCATCAAAACCCATGTTAAACAATTTAAACCATAAAGCGTTTCTATAAAGAAGTCCAATGCTTTAGTGAGATCTAAAAAAGCTCATGACAGTCGCATTTTTTGTGTTAAAACATGTTCTATCAAGTTGTACTACTACCCCTACGGAAGCCAAACTGTGCATCTGATAAAAAATTGTTATAATCAAACCATTTTTCAACTCTTCTAGTAAGAACAGAAGTAAAAAGTTTTCCAAAATTACTAATGAGAGTTATTCCACGATAACTATTCGGGATATTTTTTGGACATTTTCATGTAATGTATAAAACCTTGAGACCAAATTTCGGGAAAGTGACCAGAATCAAAAATCTTATTGAATAAATCTGTAATATGCCCAGCGAGTATATCTGCCGTAGAGATAAAATATTCGTTTAACAAATTATCGCTTGGGTAAGATGATTTGCTACTTTTAAGACGTTTAATTGCTGACAGTACCTCATTACAAGTAATAGGAGTATTTAGTTCCTCGAAAGTTGCATTATTGATATTGAAATCACTGTTGCTATTGAAATTTTCATTTTGTTCGTTAAATGTGCTTTGAATATCAGAAAAAAATCCCTTTAAAATAATCGCGGAAATCATGAATAGGAATGTGTGAATCAGTAGTATCTCGCTTGTTTTTAAAATGGTTCCAAAAATCTTTAGGTTTACTGTTTTTCAGACGGGTAATTTCATCTGCCATTTTAATTTTATATGCGCGTTTCTTTTTACGTATCAATTTTTTTATTAGATTTCTTTTTATTGCAAAGTGAAAACCTAGATTCAGTCGATTTATTATTATTAAATATAGCTAATGCATCTTTATATATACGTTTTGCCTACGCGCACTCAGAATCAAACCATTTGCTCCCTGGATATGAACGGTTGTTACCATTACTAAAATATACTTTAATAATGGATCTGCTACATCGGAAACTAAATGTGAAAAATCAAGAACCATTTGCTCTATTTCAATAGAATTGGCAACAGTGCTATTTAAAATATCGTTAAATCGCGGTAAAATTCCTATAATACCACGTCTAAACTGAGCCTTACAATCGACATCCTTGTTGGTTTGGTATTGTTTCATCGATACTGGATGAAGCGCCTTTAATCGTAAATAAAAGTATTGCATGGTCGCTGTAAATATTGAATTCACTTATTCTAAAATCGTGTATTATACTAAAGTGTTGTTCTTGTAACAAGAGATAATCTAGTGTACTGCACGTCTGACGACAATAATATGTATACGTATGTAATATGTATGTCATCACCTAACCTACCGTTAGCCAATCGCATATACGTTGACTTACACAAATCGAGCAATTTAATACCCCGTGTGTTACATACCGTATCGGATGAGGCCCGTACTATTGGTATATCGGGGGTCATAATTTTCTCAATCAATTGCTTGAATATCCCAATCACATAAAATATAATCATTTTCATTTCTAACTGTACAGTTCCAATCACCTGCAAGCAAAACTGTACCTCATTTTTCGAAATAAAAAATATCTTGTTCAACTATATCAAAAAGATCTGCATTAATAATATTACATATAGGTGACTCATCCGACCATATATAAACACCGCCAATATAAGCATCATCAATAAAATAAAAAAGAACAGTTTATCTAACTTTAACCAAGTATCGTATCATAATAGTTTTTTACTCTCTTAACACAAGATTTGATAGAATTGCGAATATACACAACAAAACCTCTAAAGTTTCGTTTTGCTTTTGTGTGCCTAAATTAACGAAAATTATTGTAACAAGTAAAATTAACAATATCTAACTTTGAATTTTCATCGGTCCAAGATTCTGTCAAAATGATAATATCGTTTGTAACGATTTAATTAATAAATTCACTATCATTAAGTTTATTTTCGGTAAGTAAGACATAAAAACCGTGTCTATTCAATCAATTTACATGAAATATTTTCAAATCATTAGACGATATCTAATGCGCAGTTTGTCAAACATCCTTGTTTATTAGAAAGTTTTAATGTTTTATAGTTTTACGCGCTTCATCAATTTCCGTCGTGTGTTTTCTATTTGTGACAGTTATTTGGGAATAAGCACTGAAAATACAAAATATTACACATACGATGGATTGTAAAGTTATACCTCTTTTACTAATCTACACGTATATGCCTTCAGGTATGTTGATATCTGCTTTTATCTTTTTTTCTAAAAAGAATTTTTTGCTTCTATAGAAAAATAATGATTTATACCGTAATGTGTAAAATATGTTGCTTTTTTTTCTATTCATTGGAAAAAATGTTAATATTTTTGACAAAAGATTACTTTTACAAATACCTTTTTTTCCCTTATGGATTTTTGACAGTTGCAAGTGTAGAAAGTAGTTGTGATAAAGGACAATGGGGAATCAACTGCACGAGTACCTGTCCAGCGTTATGTTCATCCTACGGTTGCGACAAGATAACCGGTTTTTGTTATGAATGCATGACCGGTTTTCAAGGAAAATATTGTGATATACCATGCCCTTCAAAGTGTTTCAAATGTGATCAATTCAATGGAAAATGTTACATATGTTCCATCAACTGTAAGACTTGTCCAACTTCTCCTCTCAGTAGATGTAGGTATTGTAAAAACGGCTGGTATGGAAAGGACTGTGAACTGCGTTGCAATTCAGGGTGTCGACAAGGCTACTGTGGCAGGGATGGTGATTGCTATGGTTGTCACTATGGATGGTACGGGTCGAAGTGCAAAAAACAATGCCAGAACTGTTTTGGCACATGTTCTCAAGTTTCTGGCTCATGCACTCGCTGTGTTTCAGGATTTTGGGGTACAAATTGTTTGAACAAATGTACAGGAACATGTGAAATGTGTGATAAATCTGACGGGAAATGTTTACTTTGCCCGGACAAATATTGGGGGCCAAACTGCTCTAGCCTCTGTAGCCCAACTAATTGCGAGAGGTGTGATGTAAATACAGGAATCTGCAAAAAGTGTATCGCAGGCTACTGGGGTACAAAATGTGAAAAACAATGTAACAATTGTATTGACAAAAAATGTGATATTTCGTCAGGCGTATGTGAAAACTGTCCGGCCGGGTATGCTGGCGAATATTGCAACATAACATGTGAAACATTGAGGTGTTCAAATTGGTACTGTGACAGAAGACAAGGGTTTGCTTGCTCATCTTGTAAATATGGGTATTGGGGTACATTTTGTGAAAATAAATGTATTGAAAAAAATTGCGGTCAATGCAAAAAAGATTGGGGGAGTTGTACAACGTGTAACGCTGGGTATTGGGGACATTCCTGTGAGAAGAAATGTCCAGTGAATTGCATTGTAAGCTGCGAAAAACATTCAGGTGAATGTGTTTATGTACATGTACAAGATACATTACTGCACATTACTGAATCTAATTGTAAACCAGGATATTGGGGAACTAAGTGTCAAAATAAATGTTTAGAAGAAAATTGCGAGAGTTGTGATCTTTCATCTACCCCTGGGCTTTGCTCAAAATGTAAGCCTGGGTTTTGGGGATTTGACTGCCGGAGTAGATGCTCTCCTGAAAAATGTATGGAATGCAACATAGATGATGGTATTTGCGCGCTTTGCAAGAACGGCCTTTCGGGAAAAAACTGCACTTTACTGTGCCATGGTCAGTGTCATTGCTGTAACGCTATATCTGGTGAATGTGTTCTGGACAAATGCTCCGGCATTACCGAAAAACCAAATGCAGCAATAGGTAAAATCTCATGTAGCCGTATTACTTTTTTTGAATGATAACATCACTATAGAAAAGATGAATTTTAATATATGCATGCATCTATAAAATAATTTGTTAGAGTTTTACGTAATAATCAGTAATTGTTAAGCTTAAAGTATTTAAAAGTCTATGGTAGCTGATTTATCTTTTGGATATGTTTGTATTCATTATAAATAATTTCAACTTGTCATCTCATTATAAAAAACGGTAAATTATTTTTTAGTCAATAACAGCTTGCCGATTGTTGGTGTTGTACTGATAATTTGTTCAATCGTCATGATTCTGCTAGTAACCTTGTTTGTTTCCTTAATGAGAAGGTAAGTCTTTATTAAATTGATATTATGTCACATTACTTTTATTGTCGAATTGAGCTGAATCGACTATATATTTCAAATTATTGAATTTTATAATGGTGATTACCAACAGTTGATATTTGATGATTTTTAGGATTAAACATAAATCTGCCTAAAATATAAAAATGCTGGCCACTCATTTTTTAAAAAATGTTACAGGAAATTTCGGATAGGTAGTACAAATTTCCTGGGTTCAAGTGCGTTATTATCTTTCATTTTCAAGAAAATTATAAAATTGAACGGAAGTACGGCAAAATATAAATATAATATGACGTTTTCCTGTTCTGTATGGTTATAATGTCATCATAATGTTATCGAAAACTTAATATGAAAGAAAGTTATGGTTCAGAAATTTTGGTAAATATCAATCGAGGTATTAAAACTTCGATGCAAAAAAAAACTTAAAAGCAAAATATTGAATAATATTCCATGTCAGATGTTGTAGATATATGTAAAAAATTACCTTAATAAGTGTATAACTAACTATCAAACTTTTCTTTAAAATCATATATTTTTACAGTGTTTGAAATGGTTTTCTTTCTTAAAACTGCATTTAACTATCTTTGTGCGCTTTCATTAATGATCAATGCGTTTTGAATTTCCAGGCTTAACCGTAACTTTTGTTTGAGCCAACCAGACACTGTCAATGGGTTCAAGCAAATTTTGTGTTGTATTGAAATTTGCAATTTACTCATTGCGGTTTTGATTTTTACATCTATGTTTTAAGCAAGAACTGGCTCTGGTTAAAAACGGAATATCCGGCTCAGCAAAAACTCTACATGGCCTCGTTATCTCTGTAAACAGTTACCTTCAGGGCCAGATATTCTATCTGCACTTGTACCCAGGGTAAAATATTGTTATAATATCTATCTTACAGTCGCAGAAGGCGAAAGTCAACTCACAATTCTTCACAATATCAGAATATTATTGAAGATGCTGCAGTGTCGTTCAGAGGTATTATTTTTATTACGTGTAATATTCAGTATCAGATACAACATGTATATAAATTATGTTGAACTTAAATGTATTAATATATTGTTGTGTTTTTATGCAATCATTTAAAGTTTATTTACATAGCCTAAACGGTTTTAATTTACGTTTTAACTTTATCCCAGACAATAAATGGAGCCCACAGGTTTATATGAATTTTGTTAAACATTTTTTATGCAGAATTTTATCGTGAAGTTGTATGCAATCTGATTAAAATCAGCTCCTATATAACGTTACGCTATTTGTAAATATTTAGTCAGATTGACTTTAACTTTTGTTAGCTGGACTAAAGCTTGCCTTCTCAGACAAGTAGTAAATGGACATTCCGTACAGTAGACAGCAAAACATTCTTTAGTTCAAACCTTTACCTTGGATAACAACTGAAAAATCAGTCAGTCAATTTGTATAAAACTTCTGGAAAAGTCTATTTGAATTAGAATATATTTAAACTTGTTTAACTTGTAAGGGACGTGAAAGGAGTGCAAATGACAGACATTTGCTTACAGACAAACCGAGAAATTTTATTAGTAAAATGGATTATTGTAGTTGTTCTATTTATCTTTTTAAAGTGAGCAAGAAACGGGAAAGGCCAGCACACGAATGAGAATTACAACGAATAAGACTGATAGCAGACCGGAATCTAACTGTGAGAAGATGAACGACTCTGAAGATGTTTAAAACTGATTTAACAAGTGTGAAACTCTTAAAAAATATCTAAAATATATAAAACATGCTGAGAAACTGTTACATCTGCCTACATGCACATACCATACTACATGTATTATAATAAGATTGTATATTTGAACAAAGTAGCCAAATTATATTGCAATGCAAATTTAATTATTCTATGAAAATAGATATGTCACGAGTGACACTGGCGACTGAGAAATGATAATGTTCATTCCACGAGATTAACTGTGTTTATCATATACTTTTCTCTAATTGACCTGTGATTCGAAAGACTTTACCTATAATTGTGTGTTTTGACAGAACTAAGAAAAAAGTAGTCCCATATGTTTCACTGCAATAAAAAATATTAAAATGTTTACAGTGAAAATACGGAAAATTAAAATATGCATTTCATTTAACCACTATTTCTCTATATTTTCATAAATATATAATATATCTAAATACTGATATTTAGCATTCATACATGTTCTATGGACTTGATAAATTTATATCTTGTATGATATACACATGACTGACATTCATAATGCATTTACACGGATAATTTGTTTAATGTGGGAAATCATTATTAAAATTCTGCATATGCGCTTCTTAATTATTTATTCGTTAACCACAAGCTGTCGATTGTTAAGCAACTTGGTATCCTTGAGATGTTTGCTAGCAGACAAAGTATTTGTAAGAAAGCGTAATTCGCAAAATAGAGAAAATAGAGAAAAAAAGAATCTCTAAAAACGTCAAAAACGACAAAATTAAAATGTTACAGCTTGGTGTATTTGGGCCTGTTTGTGGACGTTACTGAATACTGCAAACAAATGTCCACGCCAATAGCACCAGGTTTAGTAATAGCCAACATTTTAATACGAAAATGTTGAAATTCTGAATTCCGAAGCATCCGCTGATGTGTTCATATGGCGATTTTGATGGAACATTCTATGTGACATGCAGCGCTATGCAATATAAGCGGCTAATGTTCCGTCACGTAAAAGAATGTATGTACCACAAACGAGAAAACAACGGGGTTTAATAAAGCGAAACTTCTAAAGAATATCAGAGTTTATGAGGCCTGCATTTTTTGAAATGACAGTTGATTTCTGAATGTAATGAGGGAGCTCTGTACTTTCGTGATGTTTGTCCTTATAGACATGATAATAAGCACATGAGCTTCCCATTTAGCTTTTTTACTACCTCACTGGTCGCAAACATCCTTAGCAATGTCGTGTTAAAACGCTCTGTTATCCCATGGCTACACACGTGCGCATCGGTCGAATGCACGACTTACGCTTGAAGTCATGCTAGTGTATTCAGTAAGCTGCTAATAAAGCATATCCCTTGACATGGTAGGGTGCGGTTCGACTCTTGTCGATGCAGGCTGTAACCTGCAACAATTTGTCGTTTTTAATGGGCGTTCTTTTGTTTGGGATCCCAGTTTTTTCTATCTTAATGCATCTAATTTGAACTTCAATGAGAGCAGTCTGATGCAGATAGCTTCCATTGGGCAGGAAGACTTATTGGAGACATATTTTCACAATCCAATCCCAGTTGTACAAATGGCGTCTTCCTATCAAGGACACGATGGCCGTTGGCATCGAGCAAGTTTTTCACACGAAGGTTTCTAGAAGAAATTGTTGGAGTCTGATTTCTAAAAAAGTCGATCTCTTCTGTAAACGAATCCTGAATTAGAATTCTGGCAAACGTAAGCACTAGGTCCCGGGAATTTTATGGTCTTTCAGCTTTGTCGGAATATAATTTGTTTCTGATCAATGCTGAACGCTATGACACTATTGTTTGTCTTATTTTTACTTGACCTATAGGAGATACAGCTGCCCATACATAGTCTTTTCATCAGTTTATCCAAATTAGACATATTCAGTTAGAATGTCGTTGATTTTGATAAATTTATCTGATGAAATGATTTATCCCAACTAAGAGCATAGTATATCTTTAATAAGTTTATACTTAATAATAAAACTGTTCTTAATTATCCGATCAAATGTGTTGTAACCGGTTTTCAATGCATCAATGCGTTTTGGAATTCCTGCCTTTACCCTAGCTTTTGTTTCAGCCAACCAGACGCGGTCTATGAGTTCAAGCAATTTTTTATGTTGAAAATGAGTACAACACATCCATTTTTTATTTAAAATGGTACTATGTCCATATGAGGGTATGATTTGTACATGTATATTATCATCAAAAACTTGCTAAAATAGTTAAAGACGGGTATATCCGGCTCACGGGTAATTGTTCGGCAAAACTCTACACTGCCTCGTGATCTCTGTAAACATTTACCTTTCGGGCAAAGATTATGTCTGCATTGACATCTCGAATAAAAAATTGTTATAATATTTATCATACAGTCGCCGAAGGCGAAGGTCAACTGACAATTCTGCACAACATCTAATATTGAAGATGCTACAGTATCATACAGAGAAAATATTGTGTAACAATTGATTTCATTATTCAATAACACATGTATATGCTTCAGATATTAATATATTTGCATGTTTTTTGTGAAAGATTTGAAACTTCATTTAGGCTTAACTGTTTTAATTTACTCTTTCAACTTTAATCCAGCAAATAAAAGGAGCGCACAGGTTTATAGAAATGTTGTTAAACATTATTTTTGCAGTCAAATTGTAAGCAATCTGATTAAATTTAGCTCGTGAATAACGTTACGCATTAGGTAAGAAATAAATGGATTCTCAGACAAGTAGTCAACGGACATTATGCACATTACGCAGCGAAACATTTGTTTGTTCAGACCTGGTTAACCATTAACTGTTTATCATGGGGTAACAACTGAAAAGTTAGTCAGACAATTTATATGAAAGTTTTTTTTTTTAATGTAAAAGTCCATTTTAATTAATAAAGATATAACTGTTGTTATTCCAGTCACTGTCAATAATGGACGTGAAAGGAGTGCTAAGCACTGATAATAGCTTGAACAGTTTATATTAAAACAATTGTGTCTGTATCTATTAGTAAATATACGTTATTGTAGTCATTCTATTAATTTCTTTAAAGTGGGCAAGGAACTGGAAAAGATTAAGAAGAAAGGTTGGCATGCGAATAAGACAAACAGCTAATAGGACAATGTCAGCAGACCGGAATTTTACTATGATAACATGATGTTGAAAACTGATTATAATGTGTGGAACACTAGAAATATCTAGAAAATGACACATATTGAGAAAACTGTTAGATCTTACCATACTTTGATAATGTAACTGTATATTTTATCAAAGTAGCTAAATTATATTTGGATGTAAGTTAAAAGAGAATATCTCGAAATACATTTGGGATAATTTTCAATAATAAACTAGATGTTATGATGCACATAGCATAACGCAAAAGAAATAAGCACTTGACCCATTACAAAGTTAAGGTTCGTTTGTGTTATATCTAAAGTTCATATTTCATTGGTTTGACAAGTTTTGTCGTTATGCAATTTATCAAAATAGCATTTAAGAAGTTCGTCACAAATGAATTCTTGCGTTAAAAGACTAGGAATTTTTAGATCGGTACATAAATATTCCAACTATTACTCATCCGACAGATAGCATCTATATTTGAATGTTCAGTCATAGAAAACAGTTAGCATAAATAGAGGACATTCAAGATTTTTCCTATAGATATAGGATATTATTTACATCGAGTGGTATGAAAATTAATGTCATGAGTGGCAGTAGCCAAGAGTTAAATATGATGATTTATACAACGAGATAATACCTGTATTTATGGTTAAAAACTTGAGTTTTATCTTGTGATTTGGAAGACTTTTTTTATTTTCGTGTACTAGTTAAATAACGAAGAAAGTAGTCCCATATGTTTCACAACAGTGAAATTCTTTTACAGTGAAAAAAGTATGATTATTATAAGCATTCATACAATGTCCGATGGATTTGATAAATTCATTTGTATAAGGTATACTAATGACTGACCCTCACATATTCATAACGCATTTTTACGGACAACATTTTATATTCATTTATCCGTAAATATCATTTATCTGCCGATTGTGAACCATTACCACATCTACCAGATGTTAGCAAGCAGGTAAAGTATTTGTGGGTAAATCTAAGAAGTCAATAATTCGTGACTGGCAAAATAGAATCCATAAAAAACGACTTTGGGAATAAGATATGCCAACTCCATTTCTATCTCTTCAAACCTTGTTAATTTTTTTCCCCATTTAAACGTCAAAACATTTCCTTTTCCCTAGTTGGGATATGTTTTGTGACACAAGTCCTGCACAAATTATTACTTCAGTTTATCCCTTTTACACTCTTTTATCGTATACTCCCGGTAAGTGTCTTCATAATACTTTATTTCGTTATCAAACAATTCTTCATCCGTAAATCATGTAAATATAATTATGTTCCATATCCTTCTGCTGTTTTAGTTTTAACTGTCTTACCCTATTGATTTGCATTAAAGTAGAAGCATCATTCAATTATCTTTGTTCAGATTTACTATTTATTTATCTTTTCTCAAACCGTCTTTCAATTTTTCCATCTCTTTCTCTTATTTTTCTATTTAACAAATGGAAAGAAAGCTTTTATTTCTAACCACTTGATCTTTAACGCCGTTTGTTCAAATCCCTTAAAAAACTTAGGATTATTTTATGCAAGGAAGCTATCTAGCTTACCGAACGTCGGTGTTCGACTTAAAGCGCCATTTGTGCCTGAAAATACTATTGTGGAAACGTCATTCTATTTTGAATAAACCACGTGTTTTTGGCGTGACCGATAGCTTACACCAATGTTCAAGTAAATATCATCTATGAAGAGCAACATTCCCCCAAACAGAACGAGACATTTTGGTGTTTTTATCTTGGCTATATATTGTCTTTTTTAAAATTACTCCCTTTCTATTTCAGCAAAGTACTCTTTCTAAATATATATAATTCTATATTTGAAATGTTGAAACTGTACGCTTAATTTAATTATTATATAGGCCGATACTAGTTACAGTTATTATTTACGCAATAAACGAATTCTTTCCCGAATACTAGTAGTTTTGTACATCTTTGTGTTACTAACCTGCACAAAAATTCTTCATTTTAAAGAACCTTTATGTTTTAATTAAGGATGAACAACATTTAAGTGAAATTTTATATATGTATACAATTATTCTTCTCAAACAATTTTCAAACATTAAAGAATAAGTTAAATGTGTACTGCAAATATTTATACGCATTATATGTAATCATTAAAATATTTGCATTCATTCCTGATTGAAAAAAATGTCTTAAATTTAATTAAAATAAATTTCTTATTACCTCCCTTTATTTATAACATAACCTGTATGTGATTCACGTGCACAATTTAAAGCGATATGGTACGTTTTAGTTTGAAGTACAATTTATTTGGTACATTTTCTCTAAAAAATAGAAAAGGGAATACTAATAATTTTATTATAACGCGGATCGATCATTTATCTGTTTTATTTATAAATATATCTTTCTACTTCTGTAAATAAGTGAATTGGTGCTGCAAACAGATGCCGTGTAGCAGCCGTAAACAGTTGCCCCGTACTTCACTTCAGTGTTGCTAATTTTTTCTGGTCCTTCGGGTTGCCCCGTACTTCACTTCAGTGTTGCTAATTTTTTCTGGTCCTTCGGGATCATTGATACCAACACTATAAAGTGTTGAGAATTGAGTACCGCTCAAGCTGGTGCTAGGGGGCGTGAGGGATGTTGCACTTATACATTATCCCTCATGTACAGACTCAATCAAACCGAGTCTGCAATTCTTATGTTATTTTGTTGTGATTAATGCTTCCGAGGGATCACTTTGTTTCCAGAATTTTGTACTTCACAACAGCAGGTGTCAAGTGCCGTGTGGCAGCCGTAAAAAGTTGCCCCGTACTTCACTTCAGTGTTGCTATATTTTCTGGTCCTTCGGGATCATTGATACCAACACTATAAAGTGTTGAGAATTGAGTACCGCTCAAGCTGGTGCTAGGGGGCGTGAGGGATGTTGCACTTATTCATTATCCCTCATGTACAGACTCAATCAAACCGAGTCTGCAATTCTTATGTTATTTTGTTGTGATTAATGCTTCCGAGGGATCACTTTGTTTCCAGAATTTAGTACTTCACAACAGCAGGTGTCAAGTGCCGTGTGGCAGCCGTAAAAAGTTGCCCCTTACTTCACTTCAGTGTTGCTATATTTTCTGGTCCTTCGGGATCATTGATACCAACACTATAAAGTGTTGAGAATTGAGTACCGCTCAAGCTGGTGCTAGGGGGCGTAAGGGATGTTGCACTTATTCATTATCCCTCATGTACAGACTCAATCAAACCGAGTCTGCAATTCTTATGTTATTTTGTTGTGATTAATGCTTCCGAGGGATCACTTTGTTTCCAGAATTTTGTACTTCACAACAGCAGGTGTCAAGTGCCGTGTGGCAGCCGTAAAAAGTTGCCCCGTACTTCACTTCAGTGTTGCTATATTTTCTGGTCCTTCGGGATCATTGATACCAACACTTTAAAGTGTTGAGAATTGAGTACCGCTCAAGCTGGTGCTAGGGGGCGTGAGGGATGTTGCACTTATTCATTATCCCTCATGAACAGACTCAATCAAACCGAGTCTGTAATTCTTATGTTATTTTGTTGTGATTAATGCTTCCGAGGGATCACTTTGTTTCCAGAATTTACCTAAATAATATGGACTATTTCCTTGTTATTTTTTCCAATTATTTTAATCTTATATTAAATATTTTATTTGATCGAGAATACTTCATGTACAATTTGGTGTTGCCTCTGTTCAAGTTTTATTCGCTCTTGTTTTAAGAAGATAAACAATATCATAACAAAGTGAATTACAAGTATGTTTTGCCTGCAGTCAACCTAAATTATACATATCATTTTCAAACGATCTTTCGAATGCAGCATAGCGCTTTGTATTGTATGTACTAAATTTACAATATGTTATTACTTTCATTAAATTAAATTACTAAATGGTAAAAGGTAAAAATCTATAAATAGCCATGATTCTTTGAAAAGCTCAACATGTGCCTACCGTCGAATAGTAAAAGATATCTTGGCGCTTGCAATGGGCTAAAAATGACCACTGAAATTTCGACTTTTATTCAGTTCATCCTGTATTTAAGAAGTCACTAATTAAGACAGATGTGTGAGCAAAAATTAACTTCATTTAACGACTTAGATGGAGTATCCGCTTGTTATTTATATTTCTTGCTTAATTAAGTATTTGGTTTAAATTTATGTAGCTATTTTTGAAAGCTGAAAGCTATAGACACACTTTAAAATCCATTCATTGAACCAACCAGTACTGAACAATGAGTGTAAAGTTTCTTGCTCAAGGAAACAACGACTTGCGTCTGACGGGATTTGAACTAGATTAGACTAGATTGACTAGATTACTAGTCCGACACGTTTACCACTCAGCCAAGCCGCACGTTCTTTACGTGCGTCTTTAGCGTAGTTGCATATAGTGTCGGAAAAAACTACAAAAACAAGAGACAATATTCTTTCCGCCTACGATTCGAGTCGCACTTAAACCTTGAAAAAAAATTATTTTCTCGTTCACAATGATTTTTCTTATTTTTTATTTAATGTCTTTCTCTTGATTTATATCAATTCTTTTATTTCCACTAAATCATTATATTTACTTTGACATATCATATCAAGACAAAAACACTCCAGACATGACATGTCAAGTTCGACAAGGTGTTCCGATCCGTTGCCTTTTACATTCTTTTTCAAAATTGAAATTGGGTGAGCTCGAACTTCATACATTTTAAATGTGAATGCTGCACTTTACCATTATGCTATTCTATCTTGCAATACAACAACAGCAACAACAACAACATTTATTTAGAAATTAAGAATTGCAATGCTTTAAGCGATATTATATAATTGACATAAGGTGAAAAATGACACGAGATATCATTAGCCATCTAATACTTTTGCATAAAGAAGCTCACACAATGTATAAACAATTTTGACATAAGTAAATTTAAATCGTCATACAGATATAATTACTATCATTTCTAAACTATTCCTTAATTTATTTAAAAAAGATATATATTTTGATAAATTTAACAGTTGTCTTTCATTACCTTTAGTCATCAGTCTATCGAATTTATTAAGAGTTGACTATCTGCAAATATATGGTTTTATTATTCTTTTCCTTATTTCACGATATATTTAGCAGGCAAGAAGAAAATGATACTCATTTTCAATTAGATTCGTGGTAAATAGACACATTAATAATTTTGTTACAATGTTATGAGCCATGAGTTCCGCCTTGTGATCATGACAATTCTAAACCTTCGGTAAAATACCACACCCAAACATTAAACAATATATGCAAAATATACAGATATTATATACGGATGATTTCTGGTTATTTATATCGTGAAATTAAATTATATCTGATGGCGACATTCATTTTTGCGAATCAAATTGAAGTTAATGCATTTCATTTAAAGCCTAAACTCATTAAAACCTTTCAACTAAACTTGCAATGCGCATGCTTCGCTTCAAAACACTGCTTTACTTTAACAAAAAAAAATAAATAACATCAAGGCGAACAAATCGATAATAGGAAATCTGGGAACATAATATTTACGTTTCATTTTGTAAAAGGCTGCCATACTAAATTTGAATTTTATCTGTACACCAATCATATAGAATGTGTAGTTTCTTTTAAATATTTGCGCGTTCATTAATATAAAATAGCAACTGGAATCGAACACAAAAGCGAAAAGCCCAGCACGGTTTAATTTAACCAACTTAACTTACCAGTGTCCAAACAATGTGATATATTCGATCGATTCATTGGTAGCTTCTACGTTAAATTACGCGGCTGATTTCTGGGGTGGTCACGTTAGACCTGATGTTGAACTTATTCACTCCAAATTCAGTAGAAAGGTATTATCTGTCAAACGCTCTACAAATTTCAATCACATGTTAAATTTGATGTTGAACGAAACAACACATAGAATAAATGTGATTTGGCACATTAAATAAAAAATTATACTTAATAAATACTTTGCCTGCTAGCAAGCATCTCGAGGATATCGAGTAGCTTCATAATCGACATCTTATGTAAACGTATGAAAAATAAGAAGCAAATCAGCAGATTTTTATAATGACTTCCCGCATTAAAGAAGCTGTCCGTATAAATGCCTTATGAATGTGTATAGTTTATACAAGAAATGAATTAATAAATCCATAGAACTTGAATGAATGCTAAATATCAGTAATTAGATTAATAATATATTTATAAAAGAAATATCGAGAAAAAGTGATTATATAAAAAGCAAGTTTTCATTTTACATATTTTCACTGTAAACAAATATTTTTCACTACTGTGAAACTGAGACTACTATCTTCTTAGTTCAGCAAATACACACAATGTAATGAAAGTCTTTCGAATTACAAGGTCAAAAAGAGAAATGTATATGATAAACACAAAATTCACATTTTTCCTAAACAAAATACAGCATTTATCTCGTGGTATGAAAATTATCATATCTCAGTTGTAGCCACTCGTGACATATGTATTTCATAAAACAATAAAATTTGCATTGCAATATAATTTAGCTATTTTGATCAAATATACAGTTACATTATAATACATGTAGTATGGTAAGTGCATGTAGGCAGATATAACAGTTTCTCAGCATGTTTTCATATTCTAGATATTTCTAAAGTGATCAGGTTTTCAACATCTTCAGAGACGTTCATGTTCCCATAATTAGATTCCGGTCTGCTGTCAATTTCTAATCCGTTGTATGTCTCATTCGTGTGTGCTGGCCTTGATTCTTAGTCTTTTTCCCTTTTCTTGCTCACTTTAAATAAAAAGGATAACAATAATCTATTTTACTGAAATAATTTCTCAGTTTGTCTGTTCAAGCAAGTGTCTGTCATTTGCACTCTTTTCATGTCCCTTATTTAGTTAAAAACATTGACTAAAATAGCTACAATTAGATATCTTTTAATTCGACTTTTCCAGAAGTTTTATAAAAATTGATTGACTTACTTTTCAGTTGTTACCCAAGAATAAACAAAGGTTTGAATGTTTCGCTGTCTAATGTACGAAATGTCCATTGACTACTTGTCTGAGAAGGCAAGCTTTAGTCCAGCTAACAAAAATTACAAGTCAATTTGACTAAAGTTTCGATCTATGTATTTACATGTAGCGTAGCGTTATTTAGAAGTTGATTTTGATCAGATTGCGTACAACTTGACGATAAAATTCTGCACAAATAATATTAAACAACATTCATATAAACATGTGTGCTGCATTTATTGGCTGGTATAAAGTTAAAACGTTAATTAAAAAAGTTAAGGCAAGTTAATAAATTTTCAAATGCTCGCATCAAATCTTTCAAACAAACACAAAAAGATAATCATACCTCCAACATATATACATTATGTATCTGTTACTGAATATTAGAGGTAATTAAAATATTACCTCTGTATGACACTGTAGCATCTTCAATATTCTGATGTTGTGCAGAATTTTTAGTTGACCTTCGCCTTCTGCGACTGTAAGATAAATATTATAACAATATTTTACCCTGGATACAAGTGCAGATAGAATATCTGACCCCGAAGGTAACTGTTTACAGAGATAACGAGGCTATGCAGAGTTTATCCTGAGCCGGATATTCTTTTTTTTAACGAGAACCAGTTCTTGCTTATAACATACATGTAAATATCATAACCGCATCTGGGCATAGTGCCAATTTCAATACAACATGGATGTGTCCTGGTTGGCTCAAACAAAAGGTATGGTTAAGCCAGGAAATTCAAAACGCATAAAGTAACAATTCAGGCACACAAGGATAACTAAATACAGTTTTAAGAAAACAAAGATCAAAGAAAATCGGTTCAAACACTAAAAATGTCTAAATTTAAAGAATAGTGTTATAAGTAGTTTGACACTTTTTAAGATAAATTACAACATATATCCTAAAAGATATGACATGGCATGTTATTCAATGTTTTGCTTTTATTAAGTTTTTTGTATCGAACTTTTAATACCTCGATTATATTCAACAACATTTCTGAACCATAACTTCCTTTCAGTTAAGTTCTCGCTAACATTATGATGACATAATAACCACATAGGGGTATATAGTGAGTGAACAGGTAAACATTATATTAAAATAGAGAAATACAGAATCCCTAAAGAAAGCCCAACACAACAAAATTGAAAATGTTGCAGGCTCGGTTTGATTGAGCCTGTTCATGGACGGTACTAGAAAGTGCAAGTTACAGTCCACGCCCCATAGCACCGGCTTAAGCAGAATTCAACATTTAAACACGAAAAATGGTTTAATTTTGAATTTAGAGACAGATGTGTTCATACGGCGATTATCATGGAACCTTTAATGTGACACAGTAGTGCCATTCCATGAAAAGTGGTGTATGATCCCCAAGTAAAAGAATGCGTGTGCCCTAAACGAGAAAACAATGGGTGGAACTGAATAAAATGGAATTTGGAAAGGGGATCTGAGGTTATGAAGCCTGCATATCACAGACAAGACGTCAAAAGACAAATTTAAAAAGCAGGCAAGATATCCTAAGAGTTATTATACAGTATTCAAGTAGGAATACTGGAACCACCAAGTTGAAAAAAGGCCAAATAGAAGAAACTAAAGGTACCACATAACATGTATACATAACAATAATGTCGTGCTGAACGATCTTTCAAGGATCGAAAATATAACATCATTGATTAAATGTACGGGGAGACTTTTTACAGCCGCCACACGGCACAAATAACACGGATGTGACAATAAAATAGAGAAATACAGAATCCCTAAAGAAAGCCCAACACAACAAAATTGAAAATGTTGCAGGCTCGGTTTGATTGAGCCTGTTCATGGACGGTACTGGAAGTTTATATTTTGTCATAATTCCTTTCAATTTTATAATACCTATCCGAAATTTCCTGTAACGCTTTATTTAAAAAACGTGTGGCCAGCATTCTTTTATTCTAGGCAGATTTATGTTCAATCCATATCAAATGTTGGTTATAACCATTATAAAAGTCAATAATTTGAGATTTATAGTCAATTCAGCTCAATTTGACAATAAAAATAAAGTGAGCATAATGTCTCTTTAATTTAGACTTACCTTCTCATTAAGGAAATAAACAATGTTACTATGACAATCATGACGATCGAACAAATTACCAGTACAATACCAACAATCGGCAAGCTGTTATTGACTAAAAACAAATAAATGTACCGTTTTTTTATATTGAGATGACAAGTTAAATCATTTATAATAAATACAAACATATCCAACAGATAAATCAGCTATCATAGACTTTTAAATAATTTAAGCTTAAAATTACATATAATTACGTAAAAACTCTTACATATCATTTTATACATGTATGCATATATCAAAAATCATCTATTATATAGTGATGTTTTCATTCAAAATAACTAATACGGCTACATTAGATTTTACCTATTGCTGCATTTGGTGTTTCGGTATTATCCGAGCATTTGTCCAGAACACATTCACCAGAAATAGCGTTACAGCAATGACACTGACCATGGCATAGTAAAGTGCAGTTTTTCCCCGAAAAGCCGTTCTTGCACAGAGTACAAATACCATCATCTTTGTTGCATTTCATACATTTTTCAGGTGAGCATCTATTCCGGCAGTCTTGTCCCCAAAACCCAGGCTTACATTTGGAGCAAAGCCCAGGGGTAGATAAAAGATCACAACTCTCGCAATTTTCTTCTAAACATTTATTTTCACACCTAGTTCCCCAATGCCCTGGTTTACAATAAGATTCAGTAATGTGATGAAACGTATCTTGTACGGATACATAATTACATTTACCTGAATTTTTGTCGCAGCTAAGTATGCAATTCACCGGACATTTTTTCTCGCAGGAATGTCCCCAATACCCAGCGGTACACTTGGTACAAATTCCCCAATCTTTACTGCATTGTCCGCAATTATTTCCAATACATTTATTTTCACAAAATGTACCCCAATATCCATATTTACAAAATGAGCAAGCGAACCCTTGTCTTCTGTTACAGTACCAATTTGAACATCTAGATGTTTCACATCTAATGTTGCAATATTCGCCTGCATACCCCACCTGACAATTTTCACATAAGCCTGATGAAATATCACATTTTTTGTCAGTACAATTGTTACACTGTTTCTCACAGTCTGTACCCCAGTAGCCTGCGTTACACTTTTTGCAAATTCCTGTATTTATATCACACCTCTCGCAATTTTTGGAGGTACAGTGGCGAGAGCAGTAAGGTCCCCAGTATTTGTCCGGGCAAAGCAAACATTTCCCGTCAGATTTATCACACATTTCGCATGTTCCTTTACATTTGTTCGAACAATATGTACCCCAAAATCCTGCAACACAATGTTTGCATGAGCCAGAATATTTAGAACATGCGCCGAAACAGTTCTCGCATTGTTTTTCGCACTTCGACCCGTACCATCCATTGAGACAACGCATGCAATTACCATTCCTCTCACAATCCAAACTAAAATAGTCTAGATCACAACCTGAAAAGCAAGGCAGTTCACACTCCTTTCCATACCAGCCGGGTTTACAATACCAACATGTACCGGTGGAATGTTTACAAGTTCTACAGTTAATGGAACATGATGTGTAACATTCTCCATTGTATTGGTCACAAAAGGGACACTTTAAAGGACATGATATATCACAATATTTTCCTTGGAAACCGCTCAGACATTCGTAACAAAAACCAGTTTTCTTGTCGCAACCATGGATTGAACAAAACGCTGGACAGGTGCTCGTGCAGTTGATTCCCCATTGTCCTGGAATACAACTACTTTCTTCACCTGCAACTGTTAAAATACACCAGGGAAGAATAAATTGTAAAAAGTTTTTTGTGAAAATAACCATCTTTTATTCACAAGTATTAACATATTTTCTATAAATAAAAAACGAATGGTACATAGAACAGTATAAAAGTTTAATTGTTTTAAGATTTAATAAGTGTAATGCTTGTTTTCCAATATATATTGTGATGTTAAATGATGCATGCATGTAAATTTGCTAAATTAAAATATGTTTAAGCTCAAGAAGCCAAAACAAAAACATTTTGTCCCGAAAAAAGCAGATATCAACATACCTGTAGGCAGAAACCTGAAGTAGATAAGTAACAAAGATATCACTGTACAATCCATCTTCACTTGTACTATTTTGTATTTTCAGTGCATGTACTTAAATAGTTGTAACAAATTGAAAACACACGACGGAATTGATGAAGCGATCATTTGTAAAAGTTTAAAACTTTCAAATAAACAAGGATGTTTGAGCAACTTACGCATTATGTTTCGTCAACTGATTCAAAAATATTATTAGGGTATAAATGAACGTAACATCGCTGTAAAAATACATACAGTAAAAACCCTCAATTAAGACCACCATCGGGACTGGACTAAAGTGGTCTTAATTGTGAGGTGGTCTTAATTGTGGATATTTCTATCATTGCTTAAACGTCTATTTTAGACATTTTGTATGCACAAACAAAAATATAGTATCTTAACCTTTAAATACAATATAAAAGTATGATATAATATAAAATCTGATGGGGAAAAAACACAATTAAGAAATTTGATTTAAAGTTTTCGTCTGAATTCAATATAATTTTAATGCGATGTACATAATTCACGTATCAATTGCGAAATTAATTCTTTACAAAATAAATGTGCTAAAAGCAACATTAAACCATTATAAAATTCCCTTTCTCAACTTATTTCATACAATATCCCAATAATAACAGTTTTTGACACCTTGTGAAAACTAATATCATTCTTAAGATCATTCAAGCAGATAATAACAACATGACAACACATTTAGATCTAGGTATGTGTTGCCATTATTATCAATAGTCTAAATAGCGGGGTCAAATAAAAAACAAAACAAATAATTGGGACGGAACTTGGTGGTCTTAAAAGTGGATAAGCGAGGTGGTCTTAATTCTGAATGACACAAAGAACAGAAAATTCCTTTTTTACAAAATGGTCTTAAAACCTGGATGGTCTCAATTCCGTGGTGGTCTTAAGTAAGGATCTAACTGTATAGGACACTTTTAGTTAATTAAAAATGTGCAGAATAATGTTAAATTCAATCTCTTATTATTTTATTGATATTTCTTGAAAGTATTTAATTTTCGAGTGGTAAAAGTCTTTGACTTTAAACTACCTGACCCTAACCGCTGAGAGTTCGAATCCTGCTAGGAATTTGATTTAAGTCATGTGTCTGTTCTTGTTTGAAATTGCCAACAGACCAGTATTCGAGGTCCTCATCCACAGGTTAAGCTTGAAAGACACTATATGTCTTGTGATAGTGCGCCTTAACACCAAATCCAACAATTATATATATATTAAAGTTTTCAAATATTATTAAGCCATCAATGTAATGACATGAGCACATATGTAACACAAACGAAATATAATTGTACGAAACTACCGGTAGTTTGGAAAGAAATCGACATAGAAAAATGTGACTATAACGGTACATTTATTGCTTAAAATTTTAAAGTAACTAGGATTGGCACATATAATATTTACATTAAACGGGATAGGAAGATGCCATTTTTACTTATGACATTGTCAATTGTCAGGCTCAATCAAACAACGCCTTTAACATTTCAATATTGTAATTTTGTATGTTTTTTTTAGAGATTCTGGTTTTCTCTAATTTGCCAGTGACGCCTTCATAGATTTACCAACAAATACTTAGCCTGATAGCAAATATCTGGAGAGCATGGTAACGTTTGGCAATCGACAGAAGACAGCTGGTGTTATATAATGTAAGCGAATAAATAAATAAATAAATAAATAAATAAAACACATCGGTAGAGTTTTTGTCATGACTTATGATTTATCCGTATAAATGCGTTATGAATATATAATGGTCAGTTACGTGTATATTTATACATCAAGATATAAATTTATCAAATCCATAGAACTTGTAAAAATGCTTAATATAAGCAATTACATCTATAATATATGTTTATAAGAAATAAGTATTTATGCATCTACATATTTTCATTTTCCTTCTTTCACTGTAAAAAATATTTCTACTGCTGTGAAAATTATGGGACTACTTTCTTTTTAACCATCCATAATGGGAACTATAAAGAACTGTAAACTTGACAACATAGGACAGTTATATGCCTTAAAAGTCACCTGTATTCAAAATTAAAACAAAATTTATCGTGTTAAAAGCTATAGACATTTTTCTTAACTAAAACTTTGCTATTAGAGGGCTCTTTTTCAGAAATAAGGAAACTCTAAATTATCTAAAATATCATCATTATGAAAAATGTTTTCATATTGCTCATTATACAGAAACAAATAATAACATTCAGGTAACAAATTACATGAGCAAAATGATTTTTTTTGTAAACAAAATGTTTTTATTATGCATAAAAATGTTACCCTACCTTACCCACTTTAAGCATTTATTTTGACAATTTTCCTATGTAAAAGACCTTATTTAAAATATATTTAAAATTTACCACAATGAGGGGCTGTTTTCAAAATTTGCCTGAATTTTTTAACGTATATTGGTTGATTTTGCAAAATATAAAATCCTTTTACCATGAATTTTTTATTTTATTTCATTTTATTAAACTTTGAAAAAAACTTGTATCATAATTATATCATTAACATCAAACACATTTTTCTTTCTGTAAGGGATCTGAGAGAAACATAAATCATGTTAAAAACCCCTGCTGGAATTTGAGCCCCACAGTTTCAATGCAATTGACAGTGATTCTTGCATATTTGAATAATCCTCAAAGCGTATAATAAACACAAAATATGATAAACAAGATCAACATGGAAAGGCGGTGTTCAATGAACGCAACCCCCAAACATTCATTGTTTCCTATACATACAGGATTTATTTGGTGGTATGAAAATTATCGTATTTAACTCTTGGCCACTGTCACTCGTGACATATTTATTTTCATACCACTCGATGTAATAAATATCCTGTTACTATAAAACTTGAATATCCTGTATTTATGTTAACATTTTCCATGTTGTTTACAAATATAGGCGTTACCAGTCGAATGAGTTATATTTAGATTATTTATGCAGCGATCTAAAACGTTCTAGTATTTTAACGCAATAATTCATTCGTGACGAACTTCTTAATATTATGAATTATATGAAATATAAGATTTACATTTTAAACAAACAAACAAACAAACATTGTGGTTCAAGTGCACGTTTGCTAATTTCTTCCGCGTTATGCTATGCGTTATGCTATGCGCATCATAACATCTGGACTTCATAATGTTTATAGCGGAAAATTATCCGATAATCTCTTTAAAGTTACATTAAAATATAATTTTGCTACTTTGATAAAATATACGATTACATTATGATAATATGGTAAGTGCTAACCGTTTCCCCAGTATGTTTCCATATTCAAAGTTTCCAAAGTTCACGTTCAATCAGTTTGCAACATCTTCAGAGTCATTCATGTTCTCATACTAATTTTCTGGTCTGCTGTCAATGTCTAATTCGTTGTACGTCTCATTTGTGTACTGGCCTTCATTCTTAGTCATTTCCCATTCCTTGCTTTCTTAAAGAAATTGATAGAATACTTACAATACTTTATTTTACTAATATATACATACATAAAATTTCTCAGTTTGTCTGTTAAGGCAATTGTCCGTCCTTACACTCTTTTCACGTCTCTTATTAACTTAAAACAATGACATAAAACAACAACAGTAAAATAGCTATAATTAGATCTCTTTTAGGTCGAATGGACTTTTCCAGAAGTTTTATAGAAATAGACTGTCTGACATTTTAGTTGTTCTCCAAGGATAAACAATGTCATACCTTCAACAAAAGAATATTTCGTGCCTGGTGTACGAAATGACCATTTACTTCTTGTCTGAGAAGATAAGTTTTAGTCCGCAACTTACAACTCAATTTGACTAAAGTTCAGATCTATTTATTTCTTACCTAATACGTAGAGTTATTAGCGTTATTAAAGAGCTGTTTTTAGTCAGTTTGCTTACAAAATATAATGCTGCAAAAATACAACATTCATATAAATCTGTTTGATGAATTTATTGGTTGAATTAAAGTTTCAAAACGTTAATTATTAAAACCGTTTAGCCCAAATAAAGTTTCAAATGCTCGCAGCAAATATTTAGAACAAACACAACAAGATATTCAGCATGTATTTTATTACTGATTATTAAAATTAATTGTAAGACAGTATTAACTCTGTATGCCAATGTAGGATCTTCCATATTCTGATGTCGTGCAAAAGTTTTAGTTGGCCTTCGCCTTCTGCGACTGTAAGATAAATGTTATAACAATAGTTTACCCTGCCAGCGCAAAGAGAATATCTGGCCCCAGTTAACTGTTTACAATAGAGCTTTTGCCAAACAATTACATGTAAGCCGGATATTCCGTCTTTGACTATTACAGCCAGAACTTGCTGATACCACACATGTAAATCTTACCCGAAAAGAAAGAAACAACGAAAACTAATAAATATATTCAGTACTTTCAGAGTCTTTCTTGCCCAGTCTACATTAGAAAACCCTGTTTGATATGCAAGAAATGTTTTGTCATTTTATTTCAATGAACGGTAAACATAATGAATCTATTTTATACAATTCATGTGCCCAGTTTACATAATTAAACAGAGATGAAAAACAACATTTAAATCCAATAACGAACGTACGCTCGTTGATTTTCTAAACAATTCCTTTAAGACTCCATTTTTTTGACAACTCATGATTCTGACATATATTTACAAGTTACTAAATATCCCTACTTATATCTACATTCTTTTTATTGATTTGACATTATGTTATGTTTTCATTGTTAAGTTGAGCTTTATATACTACATAAATTTACTGTTTGACAATTCTGCACCACATCAGAATATCGAAGATGCTACACTGTCATACAGAGGTAAAATTGTGTTACAATTAATTTTAATAATCAATAACACATGTATATGCTTAAGATATAAATATCTTTGCATGTTTGTTTGAAAGATATGAAACTTCATTTAGGCTAAGCTGTTTTAATTTTCGTTTTTCCTTTAATCCAGCTAATAAATGCGGCGCACAGGTTTATATGAATGTTGTTAAACATTATTTGTGCAGTCAAATTGTAAGCAATCTGATTAAAACAAACTCGTGAATAACACTACGCATTAGGTAAGAAATAAATGGATCTGAACTTTAAATTGAATTGCAACTTATGCTAGCTGTACTAAAGTGTCGATGATCAGACAAGTAGTCAACGGACCTTATGTACATTTGGCAGCAAAGCAGTTGTTTATTTAAACCAG